TTTACCCTCCCAGTCTGACCCCTGTCCTTAGGTTTTTATTGCCTGTACTGGCACCAAAGAAACTCCTTGAAAATAACACATTCCTTGTCCATTCAGTGGTTAATGATGCTTAAAAAAAATCACAGTTTGTGACTGTGACCTAAATTATGCCAGAAGCTGTAAAACCATGGTTTCTTTAAATTCAAATATGACCCACATGCTTTAAAACCACTACACTGACCCTATAGTACTGTTGCTGAGTGTGCGTGTTCTCACATAAACACACACACACACACACAGACTCACACACACAAAACACTTGGCGTTAAATGACTCGATAAAAGAAATGGTATTTTTCCGACTTCCATGTTAAAGAAAAGGCTCATGAAAGAGATGTAAGTGAGCTTTAAGCCAAACATTTGTTTGGCTTTGCTGCAGCAGGCTGCAGGAATGTAAACTTTTTTTTTTTTCAATGACTTCAGCTCCTAATTTGAAAGCTAGGATTTTTAGGAGTGAGCAAGAGACTATATTTGGCCAAAAAATTCTGCTGGCTTTACTTAGCCACTCTGCACATTCAAAACAATACTTCTTTATCAAAAAAACAATAGTCTGTTTTATTCACAGCACATGTAGAAGTTGGAACATCGACTAAATTCCACTTTCTTCTCTCGCAGTGTGTCTGTAACCAGCTAATGAGCTGCAACAGAGGCTGGCCTTCATTTTCAGCAAATTAAGTTCATCCCTCACAGGAATTGTGGTCTGGCGGTGGCACCGCTCCTAGGTATGGGTGGGGTTTGTTTCTTCTACCAGTTGTAGGTTAGCCACATGGGTACGTGCTGTCGCACCACACAACAAAATTTTCTCTATAATAACCGGTCTAAGTAGCCTTTTACCCCACAAAAGTAGATCCCATTTAATTTACTTTGTGTTTATAGCTCTCCCTCTCAAACCGCATCATTGGCACAGACTGATATTTATACAACTTTTTATTTTAAACTATTTATTTAGAGTTGAGACTTCAGTAGCACTCCCTGTCAGATTCATTGAGTATGCTGAAGTTCAGGATACTGAAAATGTAAATTGGGAAGCGTGATGTGTCTTCGTGGGATTCTTTCCGCTGGTGTATGGACACCCACACGACTCTCCCTGCAGTAAAGGGAGGTTATACGTGTGTTGATAAATTTGTGATACAAATTGGTGGCAGGGAACTTTGTGTTGACCGGTGATTAAAAATGATCGCTTTTGCCTTTCGTGTCTCCATATTTCTTTGACAATGTAGTTGGTCAGATCGGTGATGTAACGTGCATGTAAAAATTTCTAATTCAGAAGAAGCAACGTCATGTGGGAGTCTTTTCATACACATGCAATATTCTGTTCCTCAGTTATTCTAGTGAAAGTTGCTAGACAAATAGGTACTTGCCAGAGAAGAAAAGGAAAATGCAGTTCTTGATTTTGTGTCTCACTTCTGCTTTGGGGCCTTACTTACATTACGTTTTTCTTAAATACAGCTTTTCAGTTTTTTAACTTTTAAAGTGAGGGAAGGGATGTAAATTTCAAATCAACACCTCACCACATAAAATTAGGTAGCATATGGTCAATTTTTCTACTCATGGTGGACATTTCGTATTGTTAATGATATTGAACGTGCATTTTCTATGAGGTTCCACATGTTCTTAAGTCTGTACTATTTTGTGATCTAAAAGTACAAGTCAAGTCTTGCTTCCATCTTTGGTCCTCTTTTACTTTCTTCTTTCGGTGAACAGCTGTTTTTAAGACTCAGCTCATATATTGTCTCTTCAGTGAAAAAAGTTGCGTCTTCTCAAAGAAGAACACACTCCATTGTAGCAGGGTAATCTTTGAGATATTGACTAGTGCTGCTGTCCTAGTATTTCCTATACTCCCTACCCTTCCTCTGCAGTCAGGAAACTAAGCTACTTTAGGGAAGGGCCAAAAAGTAAAACAAGTGACAATAAAGGAACTGACCTTTTTGTTTTTCTAACTCAAACCTAAGCTCCCAATTTAGAAAAGAGAGTTGAAAAAATCAGGGGTCAATTTCTGTTGTGCCCTTCCCAGCCCAGGGCAGGTAAAGACTTGATGGGTCTTGGGAAGGGAAGAGAGTTGAGAAGGGAAAAAAGAAGCTTAGATGCTGGTGGGTCCATGAGAAGGGGCGCAGACAGAGCCTGGAATGGTAAAGAAACAGGGAGGAAGTGCTGGACAGGGGGGACAAATAGCTGTGAGAGAGCGAGGTCTCTGGCGAGGTCTTGCTTCTGGGCCGAGGAGGATGGCCCAGCGCAGAAGTGATGGGGGTTCCCCATAGAGTCCAGAGAGAAGGGATGATGCAGTGAGGACTGGATTCCGCACCCCTACCCTGGTCTCCAGACTCCCTTGTTCATTTTAAGCCGTCTGGAAGTTAGAGGCAACCCAGGGAAGAGGGGATGAGAGAGGCCTTATTTCAGCCGCTGTGTGAGTGGGGGCTTCAAATAAAAAATAAATTGTTATGGGAAAAAATAAAACGATACAGTGTTTGTACATCTGAGTTTGTTGGCTCCAGGTTTGTATGCATCCAAGGAAGAAATTGTGCCTTCCTCCTTGTCTTAATCCTGTGTCAGAGAGTGTGTGACACGTAGTAGGCACACAACAAACAGTTGGTCACAGAGTGAATCAATATTGTAGAGCAGGAGTTGGCTGCTGACCGCTCCATATCTTTGATCTGGTTTCTCTGTTGGGTCAGAAAAAAAAGTCCTGCCTTATTTCTGCCTGCTGCATGCCAGCTTGGCCTGTTTACTCCTGCGGTTTCCCAAATTCCAAAACAATGCGGCATTGCCTGAAATTACACTTCAGCGCTTTCTGGATCATTTCTGCCGCCCACCCTACTTGCAGCGACTCCACTTCAGTTCCTTGCATGCCAGCTGCTGCGATAGCTCGCTGTCACTAAACCTCTACATGCGTCTACCCCAGAGGAGTTAAGTGGGACCACGTCAGTGCTGAGGAACTGGCTGTCTTCCAGAGCTGGGTCATTCTGTCTTGTGCTTTGGTGAGGTCTATTTTCTCCATGGCCTTTCAGTGAGGAGAGGGGCCTGGGATAGGGCAGAGCCCGGAAAATAGAAACAGAATGCCCAGCGTGGGTGGAAAACGTCCCCTTTCCCTCTTGAGTTGAGGAGATCCATTCAGAGGACGTTCCACTTATACATTCCCTTCTGGTCTAATTTTTCCTCAACTTTTTTTTGCTTCTGGCACCTGTAAACCAGATGGGCTATCCATTGACATACCAAGTTGTAGGATGAGGTGGGCTGTTCTTTTTCCTCCTTCAGCCCTTGTAAAAGCATCTGCCGTTTCCTTCATGCATTGTTTAGACCTCAGTATCCGTGGCTTCTAAGTCCTATTTGTGTGATCCAGAAGTTTCTCAAGCACTTTTAAACTTTAATACATAAAGTACCAGTACCACTTTGATAACTTTTAGACATAAGTCTGGAATATGTAAGAAAGTGTAAACTGCCCTCCACTCCTACTACTTTCTTATGCCAGTTCCTATATTTTTGGTTGCAAGTAGAAAAAAGCCCAGTGCAAGCTGGCCTAACAGGAATGTAAGGGCCTCTTAACTGAAAGGTGGTGTAGTGTAGGTGGCTCTATTTTATCAAGAAAACTGGATTTTTTTCCTATCTCCCCACTCTGCCTCTGAAAGTCTCCCTCATGGTCACGAGATGGCTGCCGGCACCTGACACCAGGGCTGCCTGTTTTCCTGTTCACGCCCTGCAGACATGGGAGCATCTAAGGAACCTCCTTTCCAGAAGCCCTCAGCAACTATATCCTTAAATTGTATCTGCCCAGTTTTGAAACACTGTGACACGTCACTCTCCCCCTGCTCTTTCATTTGTCGCCTCTACCGTCTATTTAGTTAAAAGAGCTAAAAGGGAATGAGGACAATATAATACATCCAAATGGCCCTGGAGGAGACAGCAGTGAAGAATATCCTCTTGGTGACACAGACTCCAGCTGCTGGCAATTAATCACTCTCAATTAATCAATCAATTGAAGCTGATTGGGGCTGTGAAAAGAGTTTAGCAAAACTGTGTTCAAGCATTGCTGTTTACTTGATGTGTAATCCCAGTCAATTTGTTACACCTCGCAGAAACCGTTTTCTTCTGGGGATCAAATGAGATGCTTTTAAAAGCATGCTGATAGCATTTATGATCTCCAAATGCCAGGTATTATCATTATTATTATTATCATTATTATTCCTGTTTTAAATAAAATAAGGAAACTGGTCTTCATTATGAGATCTATATTAAAAGGTTTTGTAGCATATCAGAGTCTTCATTCATTCAAAAATAAAATTTATGGACAATTTGAAATGGGCAAGACTGTGCTAGATGCTAGGAATATAGCCTATATAAATAAATGTGAATATTAATTATCTGTATAGAGAAAATTAATATAAAATGACATAGGAAATGGAGTTGCATATTCCAGGGCATACCTAGAAAATTTACTTTTTCTCCTTGAGTAACCACTTCATCTTTGTTTGAATTTTTTCCCTTTTATTTTCTTTTTCCTTATCTGGGTGAAGATGAGAAATTCATTTAGCTAAGGATGTAAATCGACTAGATTCCAATTAATTGAGTTTTTGCTATATATGTATTATATTAAGAACGTCGTATACTGTTTGTTGATTTATATATAATGTTGCAATATATATTACTAATACATCAACTTTTTAAAAAATTGGAATTTTTCAGCACTTCCTTAGGAAAACTCCTTTTTCTGTAACTAATTTCGGACTTTTGAAATATGAATATTAAATATAAAGTTAATTGTTTTAAAAGTTTGAGTTCATGACCATCGAAACCAATACCTCCCTTTCCACTTGAACTACCATAAAGTTCAGAGTTCAATTTAGACCTTTCCTGAGAAATGGTCTATTTCAGGTTCTTCTGTTTATCTCCTTGCTCTTTTTGAATTATCTTTATTCAACTTTATTTTTAATTCATTCATGTTACATATTTCAGTGTTTTCATATTCTTTATGAAAGTTACAAAAAGGAAGAAGAGAGATATGGAGGGAGAAAGGAAAGAAAAGAGGAAAGAAAAATGGCCATGGGAGGTGGAATGTCAGTGATGCTGAAGGTTTGAACCTGGATGATCTCAGAAAAGGTATGAAGATGAGGTGGGGGAGGGGATGGAGAAAATGGTGCCAGACACTGTGCTAGCCAATTTACAGAAAGCCCTTAACTTCACATGAATCATCTTATTTAATTTCCCAAATAACCATGCCAGGTATTAATATTCCCTTCTTACAGTTGAGTAAACTAAGAAAGGGCCAGTTTTTTTTTTGTTTGTTTTTTAACTGATAATTCTGACTGATAGATACACAGAAAAACCATAAAGGAAAAGTAAGTGGCTATCTGGTCGGTGTGATTAACATAGTCATTCAGTGCAGACAATTTAGGCCAAAAAAGCCCACTGCACTTTCCTCACTAAATACCAGGTTGTGATCATAAATGTGTGAAAGAATGTGTGTTTGGAGAGAAAATTATTTTTACTGCAGAAACTTTCTTCTTTGTGTTGGTTATATAACATTGATTTCACTTACACAGCAACTTGGATGTGCCTGGAAAATGTCGCTCCATTATTTTGTCTATAACTACTCTGGTTCTCTTATAAATTTAAAGTCCTATGCGGTTGAAAATTCGGTCCACTCCAATAATTAAAACCATCCCTTTAGGTAAGGCTGCTCCTTTAGGAAAACATGCTTTGTCTCCCAGATTTCTCAGCCTTTGTCCACTCCCAGGCACCACTTCCAGCTGGTGTCTGGGGCGTGGTGGAGGGGTGAGGCTTGCACAGTCTAGGATTGGTGGGGAAGAGCTGGCATCTTTGGGTGTGGAGCCTTCCTGATCCTTTGGTTTTCAGGGTGCTGTCCCTTGTCTGTTGTCTTGCGGGCACTCGCCGCTGATGTGGACACCTCTTATCTTGGTCCACTCACCCTCACTTTGGCTTTCTCTGCTTTGTTCCCTGATGGAAAGCCTAGTTGAACCTCTACCATGGAGGTACCTTGCCTGCTAGCTCTCAACTCAGCTGCCTGGTCAGTTCCCCATGGGATGAGAGCGGGGTGCTGCAGAAATGCCTGGTTTCTGTCCAGACCACGAAGTGGAGTCTAGGAAAGCCATTCCTCAAGCTAGTAGATGAGCTCTGAGGAGGTTGCTGTAGGGCAGCTCTGGCGTGTGGGGGAGGCTGCAGTCTAATCAGATATGGCATCTGATGTTGCTTTTCCCTTGGGGCTCCTGCACCTCACCACTAAGAAGAATATAAGCCAGAAAGGGAAGTTGGGAGGCAGTCTCAGATTGCTTTCCACACTCTGCCATCCTCAGCCCGCAGAAACAGAAGAGGGGGCTTTGCTCCCCTTTCTCTTTGTCCCAAGCCCTTCTACCAGAAAGCAGAGAATTCTAGATTGAGTCCTACAGGCTTGGTCCTTGAAATGTTAAGTAGGAACTAAAAGAATTTAGCAAATCCATTTACTCTCCACAAAGACTTGCTCTCAAACTGTATTTTTATTCTTTCCTTTTCTAGGGCAGCAAGTTTTCTGGCTCTGCCTTGAAGGTGAGAGACTGCAAAGAAATATGATTTAGGGAATGCTGTGAAATACATTCGTTTAATATTTGCAAAATACCATCTCTGGTGCAGTTACAGAGCCACAGTCAAAAGTTCAGCCGTCTGTGTACCTGAATGTGCAGCTTGCACTCTCTGGCTTCTCATAAAATTAACATGAGAATCACTTTTTAATCTGTTTTGTTTAGCAAGTCAGAATGGTGGAGAGCTGGTTTTATTGTGAGCTAAAAGTGGGTAAAAACTAGTAGATTATATTTAGAATACAGCTTGTAAAAAAAAGAAAGAAAAATAATTACAGCCATCATGACAAAAGAAACCAGGCAAACACTTCTTTTATCAATAAGTAATGAATTAACAAAAAGGTGACTTTTGCAGTGTAACGTTCCTGAGCTGTTTTTAAACTGACATTTTAGAGATTGTTTCGTAAGTATTTTGTCAGAAAAAAGCTTTAGTAAATTTTATTTTATGAATGCTATAGTTTAGAGTTCTGTTTTCTATGATAGCAAAATAAACTCCCTTCTTTTATACTTTTTTTCCCGTTAGATTCCAGTATTTGTAGCAGGCCTTGTCAAATAGAGGTGAAAATTAAATTATGGTAACGTGAAAAGTATACCTAGAAAATTGTGTGAATTCTTTAATGAAGGCTCTACATTTGTTTTACTCGAAGGAATATTTCCTTTGTGGTGTAAACTGATAATTAGAAGTATTGAATTAGATATTTGTAAGAATAGTGGGAATTACCCACTGTTGCACTGTGTTATATCTTAGTCTTTCTGTTCTATTCTAATTATGAGCCAAAATTCCCGCAAATTCCAAATTCATCATAAAAAGAAACACATATAATGACCACATTTCCTAAAATAATCTCTGAAATTATGGACACATTTATTCGTGTTAATGTGAGGTTTGCATTTTAATTTAGATGATGGCGCTGTGGATTGCTTTTCTGCATACTTTCACTTAAGGACAGTTTGTCAGAACAGATAAAGCCAAAGGCAATTATAACATGAACCCTTCTCCTCTCTCCTCTGCGCACGGAACGGCATAAGTCCAGAACCTTCTTCTTCATTGCACTTGTCAAATCTTAATGTTTAGAAGTTTTTTGTTCAAATATCCATATATAAAATTACACATAATGCATGGAAGAATTGTGGCAGTACTCTTTATTGCCTCCTCTTCAATAATTATCTGTATATCTGTCGCTCATATAAAAGTGTAGGTCTGGAACCGCCTTAGTTTTGTTTCTTGAATGATGCCAGTTCCTCTTTTTTTCTTATGAACTTAGAAGTAGGGGAGTAATGTAATATTCTCACCCATGTAACATTATGATAGGCTTTCTTTCTGTTGTTTTTGGTAACTTAATCATAAAAATAAAATTTTAAAGATGATTTAAAAAAATTTCTACCTCTGCACGCAGTAACTTAGGCAACACTTCTGGAATGCAATTTGGCTTAAGGAATTCGATATATATAAGTAATATGGGCAGAGGAAGAAGCATATTTGCATATGATGCTTATAATCGCTCTAATTTTAGGGCTATAATTTGTTGTGATTTCTGGAAAATTTTATTTTTTATTTTTGGAAAAGGGGATCTTGTTGACTGTGCACACTATAGTAATTATTGCTCTTGATGGAAGATATGTCTTAAACCAGAGCTTTCTAGTGACCATGCTGGGGGCACTGATGACATTCTTTAACTCTCTGGGCCCTCTGTGAGATAATAGACAATTTAGCATCTAAAACTACTGTTATATATCATTGTCAAAAACTGTTTCTTAAATATATGGAAAATAATACATTTTCAAATAGTTATGCCTTCATTTCATAAAGTTTAATCTTAAGAGCAACGTTAATACAAAGATGTGGAAATGAAGATCTCCTTTTTTTTAATGCATCATCCTTTTGGTGGCCTAAGAGGGAATTAGTTAACATGATTCTTAATTTTTCTCAAGGCCTGTGGAAAGAAACTGGCTTTCTAGAATGTGCATGGTTAAGCATCGTACAGAAATAAATATCTCCCCCTTGGAATTTAAATTGTATCTAGTAGTACTATTTTTATACCTCTTACTAGGAAACGAAATACCTCTAAATTTAGTGCTTTGGAATTTTATTTCCACTAAAAATTTCTTCAGATATGTGAGTACCATAGTAACAGCTTTGCAAGCTGATTCTTCATTATAGTTCCCCGATAAGAGCTTTACTCAAGACAGTTCCTTTGGGATGACTGAGACTAAAATCAATTCTGATAACATTAGAACAAATTTAAGATGGGGAAAAAACACAATCAGAGAAGGCAAGCATGCTGTGGATAACAGAACTTCCCTTAACATTTATTTTTTGATCAAAAGCTAAAATGCGTTTTTTCCAAAACTTTTCATTTCTTGTATTATTTTGTATTTAGGTAGGATTTGTTTCCTCCTTGGGAAAAAATAACTCATCAGAGATATGAAAAATTCAGCTGAATTTATTTATGGTGTAGATAAAGATCTTTTGCATGCTTTCCAATGACGACGTTTTACAAAACTTACAGGTAAGTAATACGAGGAGTGGAAAGATGAATGCCATGAATCTATTTTAATAAAAAGTTAATAATCAATTCATTATTTTCAAGAAAATCATTGCATTTTAAAAAACGTGTAGTACACTAGACTGAGCGCTGATCATCTTAGAAAGAAGTCTGTCAAAATAAATCAGGTTGATAACTGATTAGCAGAACGTGTAGTCTGTCATTTTTAAATATGTGCCCAATTTCTTCACATAAATCTTACCTTTAAAATCTTCAAGGGGAAAATTTATTTTGGGCACATCGGCCATGAATATCAGTTGACATTTATACAGTGCACAGAATTTATACTGTGGGTTAGGATGTCGGCCATAATTCTAGGCTGATAGTTTGTAAAGGGAAGATTCCATTTTGTACTGTTTATAAAATGTTACTCTGCAGTTCCATGCTCCAAGACTAACAAAGTCTATCCAAGTATAGTCAAGCGCTGCAGTTTAACTTATTGCATTCATTAAACTGGGCTTAGATTGTCCTAATTATACGTTATCAACAATTAAGAAATGGATCACATGCCACAGGCTGGCTAAAACATTCTGTATTCTTGGCTGGGTGCCAGTGGAGGTGCCCACTTCCATTCTACCTTGTCATCAGCTGCATCTCTGCTTTTTTGCAGTACAAGCAGCAGCTGTGCTAGACAGAATAATCTAAATCCTCACATGTACTTTTCCTTTAGGAAATAGATTACACTGAATTGCATTTCTGGTGTGAATAGTGCTACACCTGAGTGAGTTTGTGCTGAAAACGTATTTTATGCAAATATAATTTTTAACTGATACACTCTTTCATGACTTTCAAATGCATTTGTCCTATCAAAATAATGGTCTCACTTTTCATGCTGAAATTATTACCAAATGGATTCTGTGGGCAGCAAAGTACTCTTTGCTCGTTCGGCAATGATTTTCCTATACCTCAAATTACATAATTTTATAGGTGCTCTGTTTCAAAGGAAAACAATCTTTATTGATCCAAGCAGTCAGAATTAATCATGGATCTCTGATCTCAAAACTCCTGGCAAAATCCTTTTATTCAGAACACCCGTGTGCCAGACGCTCAACACTTCACAAATCCTTGTGGGATGATGGGTTTTTCAAACAGTCTGATTGTTCAATCTAGTGTGGCTTCTGAAAGCAGAGATTCAGCAAGGCTTTCCCCTGAGCAGAGGAAGGCCCAGCCAATTTTATGAAGAGCTAAATTTGACCCAGGTTTTACTGCAAATTGTCATCTTTGTTCTTGGTAACGGACAAAAAAACGGATGTCAGAAGTTGTTCTCCTTTCCATGTGTTTGATAGAGAGAAGATCCTGGAGTAGCAGGTGTGTGTCGCAGCAGGAGCAGAGGGTAATGATGCCGGGGTGCCATGCTAGGTAAATAAACCCCGTCAACCTAAAGTCCTTTGCTCCTCAAACAGATCCTGTAATAGACAATCATGAGATGCTAGTTCCCATAAGAACTCTTTACAGTTCACCGCAGAACTTCCATGTGAGTTGATGTGCGTTTTCACTTTACCAAGTTACGTGGTTGTTAAAAGCTTTACTCCATCCTACACGAATCAAGGTGGAGTGATCATGCTAACTCCTTCATTAGAGAAGATAGCAAAGAGATTTAAAAGACCCAGGCCAGGTCTCTAATTTACAAACAACTTGTTCTGTGCCATTTTGTAGTGGCGTCTGCTGAGACCATTTCTTACTGGGCAATTTAACTTTTCAAATTTTGCTTCACATTAGGAAATCCTTTACAATCCGCAGAAATATGCCAAGAAATTCTTTTGCCAAACCGCTTCCTGGAATAATAATTTCCTTTGATTTCACAAAAGATTTCCCCATTTTTCCTCTGTGGTAGATAAGCTATCTAAGGATTCAGGCGAGTGCTCTTACAGGAGTATCTATTCTGTTTGATTTGGGTAATATATTAGCCCTCTCTGCTCAAGAGCCAACCAGTCAAACAGTCGTGTTATCTGTTTGCATCCTCTCTCTCTTATCTCTCTGCTCTTGGTTTAACATTATGCACCAGGCCATAACGTAAGAAATGCAAGTCTAGGTAATATTCATTTTTTCCTGGCCATTGGGTAACACAATCTTGGCTAATATATTGGTAATAGGTTTGCCTGTTTTGTTCATCACGGCCTCCCTGGCACCCAGAGCAGTGTCTGCCCCAGTAGATTCTTAGTGACGATTTGCTGACTGAGGCTCTCATTTGGCTGGCTTTCTTTATACGTAACCTGTTATCTAGGTGCATCTTTCACTCTGCTTGTGATTTTTGACTCTTTGGGGAGTTCCTCCAAAGATATTCAGCCTTTTGTTGAGTGGTTAAAATTCCCTTTCTTCTTCAGACTTACTTTTCTTCTGGTCTTTTGTTAGAAAGAACTTCCCCCCCTCCACGTACTTCTTTATTATCTATTGCTTTTCTTACATCTTTTCTCTTTTGAAACAGACTCTTTGCTTTCCTTTGTCAGATTTTTTTTTCTACTTTTCCTCTCTTTCATGTTACCGTTTAGGTTGGAGCTAAGTTGCTGGGACAGCTGTTCTCTTTGACCTCCTCTAGACTTTACTGACCACATCACCAACTGGCAGGGTGTGGCGCCTGACGGTGTTCCAGGAGACTTGCTCTCAAATGGAAATAATGGAGTACCATTTTTGAGTTATAATTTGTGATCAACATTTGCGAATTCCAGTAATCTTAAGCATTTTAAAGCACTATATTAGTGAAATGATTATTAAAATTCTGAATCTTAAAAATCAGTCTATTCCGCATTGAAACTGCATGTGAAGACATGATTCAGTTAATGGTCCTTGGTTAACAACAGCACCAGAAAGAAGCCCCAGGGAGTCATCCAGAATGCCCTTCTGCCAGGAAGCTATTCTTGGTAGAGACTGTCTTCTCTTTTCTTTAAAAGCTCAAAGAAATTTTACTATATTCCTATCTATTGTCTTATGACTTGTACAGCTACTGAATTGTTTGAGCTAAATCCTGTTATCTCATTAGCTCACTCCTCAAACACATATGCACACAAATATATACAAGTGCTCACACTCTAGTGGGAAAAATAGATTTTTGGGTTTAACTGTATCATTAGGAGGAAGTCAGTTTTTTCCTGTCATAGGAGTAGAGATTAGTTTGGTTTAGCTTCAAAATACTTAGGCTAAAAGTTCAGTTGGTTAGTGCTGAAAAACAGTTCTCTTTTTTGACTCGAGAACCCCAGGGGTCATTTTCCCTGCTTCCATTCTTCTCCATTTCATTGCAACCTCCTCTTCAGCTGCTGTGCAGTAAAAATGTGTATGAATCATGTCTGGTACTTCCATGGAGGGAAGCCCATCTGCTTAGGGGACTGCATGGGACAAAGGGAGGCCCTTTACACTCTGGAGCCCGCAGGACAAATCACTGAAATCCTCTTAGATATTAGAGGGGAATATCCTGAGCTATTCTGAAATCTCAAAAGGACTAACAAAGTTCATTCCATTTGTCATTGAAATGTGACAGTGATATAGAGCAAAACCTTTCCGCAGTGTGGGCTGGCTGCACCGAATTCCTTTTGCAACAAGGAAATTAGGTCAAAAGAAATTTAGGTCAACACCTTACAGAAATGCCCCCATGCCTGAAAGGAGCCAGGAGAACATAAAATGTTACAAACAGAAAGGTTATTGTTTTTACATTTAATTTGAAAAATGGTACCTTCCAAAGCTTACTGTGATATAAACTCAGTTATGATTCAGCAAAGAAAATTACCTCTTGCATTACCAGGTCGGCTCCTGATAAATCAGGGGGTGATCCGATCCGGAGGCCCTGCTAACCAAGCCCAGCCTGGCTGACCCAGTTTAATCATGCAATTCAAGAAATATTTATCAAGGCTTCGTTATGTGCAATGAACCTATCAGATGATTTAAAGGTTATAAAGATTAGTAAGCAGCCACCTCTCACCAACTCCACCTTTGCTATTAAGAAGCTTATAAACTAAGGAAGTGGGAGAGGTTAGGGGGTAGATGAAAGAGCGGTATAACCTATTAATTCATTGATTCACTCATCATACAGTAAATGAACTCTTATGTGCCAGAGTTAAGGCAAAGTGATTCTGGATGGAAAGGAGAAAGAGATTGGGTCAGTTTGGGGTGGGCAGAAAGGAATAATTTCTTGAAAAAAGGGCAGAACTTTAAGTGGGTAAATTTCAACAGTTGGTGACCTGTGAGAGGTACCTGAGTGGAGGCATTGGGAAGGAGCATGGGGGCGGGGATGCCTGGAGGAGGGGAAGCAAGTAGAGGCAGTGGCTGAGACCTTTAGGAGAACCGTATGCGCACAGACAAAGTGGTAGAAAAGGATGTATTGTATTTAGGGAACAACTAAGGATTCATTTTAACTGTACTGAGCATAGAAAACAGAAATTAAAGTAGTTTGGAAGGGTAAATTTAGACATACCTTGAATGCCAGACTGAGGAGTGGCATGTATAGGGCGAACCAGTCCATGGCCCTGGATTCTGGTGACTTGGGTGACTCTTCTGACCAATTAGGTGGCCGAGTAAAGTCTAGCAATGTTAAGCCATAAACTTTGATCCATTGTTCTGGAATGTCTCTAGTTATAAGGTTACCTGATCAACATCTATACTATAAATATAGAATATATATTTTCAAAAAGAAACAAGTGGAACTTTACTAAATCCACTTTTTAAAGTATCTTGACTAACGTCTAATTTGGAGTTTGGCCAGTTTAAACAAACAAACAAAAGAGAATGAGAACTATGAAAAATGAGCGTGGTCTGTATTTTCATTGGTTATGTGACCACCTTCTCACTACATACATCAGTTAGCAAAGTCCGCTTTCAGCAGTGGAAATTTCATTATCACATCTAATTCTGGTTTGGTAGCACATTAAACTTTCAAACAGTTAATGACTCTGGTTTTCTTTCTGTTCGACTTTATGTTTCATAAAAGCACCAGCAAGAGGAAAGAAATGACAGTAAGACTGAATTATGAACTTTAAAAAGTTGAGAACAAGTAAGTGCTTGTGCTGTGAAAGCTGCGCTCTCAGCTCTTGATTAACTGTCTGCAGTAGGTCAGCGGTGAGCACTGTGCGCCGGGCTGGGATCGTTGTAGCAGACAGGCAGGTGAGGGACCCAAAGGGAGGAGTTTCTTTTAGGCTTCTATTTAACACGGAGATTACCCAAACTCTGCTTTATACAGTGGCTTCTTTCCAGTATCTTCTGTAGGTCATAATTTTAACAAAAAACAAAACAGCGTTTGTGATGAAGGTTAGATTAGTTTCCTAGTTACTCCCCTCAAAGTTCTTTGGAAATTGGTGAATGGGCACTTTCTGAATGAGACTTTGATCCTAGAAATCAGTTTTGTGTGTGTTTGTGTAGATGTTGTGCATATGTGTATATATAAGTATGTATGTATACAAATATACACACACATATATATTTCTCTCTATATGAGATGTATCTATATGTAAAGTTTCATCTATAACATATACACATATATATACCCATACACACACACACACACGATTTATATGTTGATGGGAATATCAGGAAGGAAGAAAGAAACTAACATTAATTGATCTCTTACTATATTTTCTCCATTGAGGTAGGTACTAATGTCCCTCTATTTTAGGTGAATTTGAGGCTCAGAAGAGTAAGTAAATTACAAGTTAGGCAATATGCCCAAAGTCAAAAGCCTAGAAAGTAGTGGGATTCCAGTCTGGACCGGACTGAACTCCAGAGCCCAGAACACACGCTCACTCTCTTTTCCTTTTTCCCCTCACTCCTTGCCTTTCTCTCATCCTTCTTTCTTGTCTTTTCTTGAACAGTCAAATGGTTCACAAAGGAAATACCATAAAGTAAGTAAAAATGACTTCAATCCGTTAAGAAAGATCACATAGCCACAGTAAAGACCAAGATAAGAAAGAACACCATAAGGCTAGATGTGAATTTAATGACAAAGATGACTCTGATTTTCTTAGCAGCCAAGCTAAAGAAAGAAACTAGAACAGCCATTGAGCTCACAAAACAGTTACTTAGAAGTACCGAAAACAACATCACAGTTTTAGCAGCTTGTTTTTTATTCTGTCCTTTGGTTATGGTGTTTTGTACAAGTCTCTGATGATCTGGCTTAATTTCTCACTTTATCATTATAATCTCATATGCAGGGTTATGCATGGCGCCCACAAAGACACCTTGGCACAAAGAAGCAAAATATTGAGGAATGGAGCCACACCTCAGGCTGAATATTCACCCTTACTGGAGAGATAGGCTGTCACCTGTAGGAAATAACTGTCAAGTAAGGCAGCTGATCAAAGAGACCGTGTTGAGAATCCTTAGCCGTTGTCATGCCATGGGCAAGTGTGTGTGAGTGTGACTGTGTGTGGGGGTGTCACACAACACGCTGTTCTATGTCTTTCTTATACTTTGCCCACCATTATTTGTTTATTCCCACTGTTGTTCATGAAAAAGCCTTTCCACATACCTACAGTCATTTCACAATTCTGTACAATTTTCATCTAGACCTTTATACATTCTGGGAATGGAGTGGATGCATTGGGAACATTTTTGATCACAAATCAATGCCATTTTGTGTCTTGGTTAGATGGTATGACTCATAGAGATAAGTGTTTTCCAGAAGAGTCTCCAGACTAAAGACCTGCTATAGGGAGCAGAAAATTAAGGTAGTAAGCCTGCTGGTTCCAAAAGTTGTCAGGCTTGCTTTTAGTTTCTGAAGAAAACAGTGGACTTCAGTTTAATTCTGTTTGATTGTTTGCAATAGTGTTCCAAGAGAATATGATAAGATTATTTTCTCTCTTGTCTGCTTTCATATATATATATATGTACTCCATAGAGAATAATAATTATAGAAAAAATTGCTTTTCCTCTTTATTAAATCCAATTTAATAAAAACTTGGTGTTTGGAAAAAATACTAAAAATGAGTTTTACTGGCCTGATTCATGTTTACAGAAATACTGTCAATCCAATAGAATTGAAAGAGAGATCAAAATATTCTTACATCCATTCCGAATCTGACATTCTCCAGTAAATCAGAGAATTAGGCTCTGTAAAAACCACTAAGCAAACTAGGTCACAGATAAGAAGGTGGCAATTAATATGACTATATCAATTATTTTGTTAAGTTATTTCCTAATATTTCACTCTGTAGGATATTTTATATACAACCCTCTTTTAATACTCTGTTTTAAAGAGAAAACTATTTTTTAACATAAAAAACTATTTATAGAATCATTTAAAATATGATGAATGGAAAAAGCATTCATTAAAAAAGAGGTAGGGGAAATTAACAGAGAACTCTCGTTTAGAAATCTCTTCAATGAAATTATAGTTGATGTGGTAAAAACAAATTTAATATGTAAAGTAAAGAACATCATTTGGAACATTCTAGTTTCCCTTATCTCTGTCCTAGGAAATATGCTTCCTCCAAGAACTGATGTCCGATGCATTTTGCATCAGTGCTTTTTTCATTGTTGTATCTTCCTTTCTTAAGCCTAGATTAACCTATTAATTTAAGAAGCCATCTCTTTCACCATGTGCTAGGAAACCAAGCCTGAGCAACCAGACATTTGCACAGACGATTTTATCGAGTGTGTTCTGTTTCTTTAACTGCCCCTATTTGCTGCTTATAGTTAAATTCTTATAACCCCGCAAAAAAGACAAGACTATATTTTGTGTTGTACTAACACATTCAAATGGGTTGTTGACAACTTTCCCAATATTACCAGAGTTTCTATGGCCTTTTGAAGCTATTTCCCCTGAGCTTATGGACATCTGTTTGGCAGTAGGAAGGAAGTCATAGGAGAAAGGGTTTCAAACTACATTAAGGAGCTGAGATTCCGCTGATTCAGCATTTGTCTTTATTGCACTAGGATTCATTGGCATCTATTTTCTAAAAAGAAAGTATGAGGGAAAGTACATTCTGCCAGATCCCAGGCTGCATGCTGGTGTATACAGGTTTTGGCCCCAACCCTTGGGGAGTTTGCTTTCTTTTGGGAAAGAAGAGACATATACCTGGATCACTGTGACTTGAGGTAGCGTGGTGATGGTGGTATGCACAGTGTGCAGCCAGCAAAGAGGAAAGACTCCTCATTTGACCAGGGCCTGGGCTTGTTGGAGGGTGGGCAAGGTCAGGGACAACTTTCTGGAGGAGACCATCCCTGAGTCTTAAAGGCTGAATTGCAGTTACCTGGTTAAAGGAGGGCAGAAGGGCATCCTCATTGGAGGGAGAAGTCAAGATAAAAGGCAAAGAGGGAGAACTCTAAGCAAGAAGTAGAAGTGCTTTCTTCTCCCACTACTTAATGCATCTCTTTCATTTGAGAAAAAATCCATTGGATAGTAAACGGTTAAGAAATCTCACTTCCCTTCTTGCCTTTTTTTTTTTGGCTTTTTCATTGAAAAGTGAGAGGATGGGCTAGAGTGCCATCAAAATTTCTTCAGATTGTGATATATGCAGAAAATGGAATATTATTCAGCCATAAGCAACGAGGAGATCCTACCATTTGTGAGAACATGGATGGACCTTGAAGGCATGATGCTAAGTGAAATAAGTCAGACAAAGACAAATACTGTATGATCTCACTTATATGTGGAATCTGAAAAAAACCCCACGAAACTCATAGAAAAAGAGAACAGATTTGTGGTTATCAGAGGTGGGGGGGGGGGGGGAGGGAGAATTGGAGGAAGGTGGTCAAAAGATATAAACTTCCAGTTGTAAGATACACAATTACAAGGGATGTAATGTACAACAGGATGACTATAGTTAACACTGCTGTATGATATATAGGAAAGTTGTTAAGAGAGTAAATTCTAGGAGTTCTCGTCACAAGGAAAAAAGTTTTTTTCCTCTTCTTGTATCTTTATAAGTTGCTGGATGTTAACTAAACCTATTGTGGTAGTCATTTCACAATACAGTCACGCACTGCATGATGATGTTTTGGTCGACAACAGACTACGCATATTACCATGGTCCCATAAGATTAGTACCATATAGCCAGGTGTAGTAGGCTATACCATCTAGGTTTGTCTAAGTACACTTTGTGATGTTCACACAACGAAATTGCCTAATGATGCATTTCTCAGCACATATTGCTGTCGTTAAGTGACCTGAGACTGTATATGTAAAGCATGCCACCATGCTGTACACCTGAAGCTTATACAGTGATGCATGTCAAGTATTTCTCAATAGAACAGGGAAAAAAGAGATTTAAAAAAAGACTTCTTCAGGGCGTTCATATAGTGTGATTTATATATTTAATTAAGATAAGGGAACAAACCCTTACAGTGTTTGCTATTAATAAATGGATATTATCTTCAGGAAAACAATAAAACTGTGTTTCTTTTTAGACACAATTTATAAATCAGAGTATTTGACTAGTATAGGTCTTTCCCTTCATGGAATCTGATTAAAATCAGTTTTACTGCAGACATTTGTTTTCACAAGAATTTCCCAGGAAAGCGTTTTTCCGCATATCAAGCCAAGGCTTGTGGTCCTGCTGTCACACTCAGAATTTAGGACTCGTTTAGAAATGGGAGCAGAAGAGTCAAACTATGTTACTACCAATGAATGATAAACTTCTATTGAGAAAGCTTTACACATTCGGGGTGTTGTTATTATTCTACTTTTGAACTGTGGGAGAAATTGAAGAATTTTTATCATATGTTTTTGTCCCAAAGTGTAGAATTGTGATTTTTGTACCAAAGGTAGGATTGTGATTAACAGCAACCAATTGAGAGGAGAGCCCAGGTTTCCAGGGCTAGGATGTTCGTTCCATGTCATCACCCATGCTTCAGGATCCTTCTAACTTTCTGCTCCACAGTTGCGACAGAGGACGTTCTGCACAAAACGACCATTTTAGGCAGAAAGGCTAGGGAACGGGAAAGGACAAATGCAGGTGCTGGCTGAACACTCCACCCGATAGCTTCTGCTTACATTTTTTCAGCAGATCTTACTCATAGGGCCACCTACCTGCAAGGGAGGCTGGTAAATATGGTTTTTAGCTGGTCACATTGCAACCCACAAGTAAATTGGTTCTGTTAGTAAAGAATAAAGAGTAAATCAATATTGTGTAGGAAACTAGTCATCTCAGCTATAAGTCTCAGAATTAAAAAAAAAAAAAAAAAGAAATCTAGCCCAGAGTTTCAAAATAAAACAAAAGTCTAAGTGGACAAAAGAATAGAGTGTCTCGGAGGAAAGTTAGGCTTATTGCCTAACTGTACTATATTGGCACAATCTCTTCCATTTTGGGTAGCGGAATTAATGTAGATAAACAAAACCTGGATGAGCAGTTAGGAGAACGGTGTTCTACTGTCAACTCTGCTCCTTTACTACTTGTGATAAATTTATCTTTCTGAAGTTCCAGACTAGATTAGTAATTTTCAGATTTTTCTTAAAGCTCTGAAACACTTTGTTCAAATGGATGGTACCTGTAAATAGTGAAGAGCAGCACTACTCACGCTGAAGAACATGTGGAGGTGGTAATCAGAAATCCCGCTTGGTTCTTCTCCCAAGGCCTCCATGGGAAGAGCCAGTTTCCCAGCCTCTTCCTGGCTTTGCCATTCCGTGCGCCATTTGTAAGCAGGGACCAAACCCTAGTTGCTGTAAGAAGCCATATAGTACCACTTGGAATACATCTAGGCATTGTTGTAACTATACATAAAATATACTTTGCACAACATTATCTTTTTTTGTTTTCAACAAATGGATTAAATTTCCCTGTCTTTCAACCGTTTATTTGCATCAGTCTCTGCTTTGTAAAACTACATTCTTTTCAAAATGTGGAAATGGTGCGAAGCTCCTGGGAAATTCTCAGAAGTTTGCAATTGAGATTTTTGCATTTTTCTGTAATTTGTTTGGCCTCCTACATGGATTTTTAACTTTTTTTTTTTTATGTCCGTCTGCCCACTACTTAATTCACATTTACAAGATCACACATAATCCACGGGGGGAGTAGCAATGTTTTTGCTTCAAAGGTCACCATAACAGGAGGTCAGTGAAAACTCAAACATGGCTTTAAAAACACGAGATCAGAAAGACACCCACAAGACTGGGCATGTGGATTGAGTGCTAGATGGGTGGTCAACCCAACCCAGACAAGCCAGCAATAGTCCAACCACATAACAGACCAGGAAACTCCAAAGTTGCTAACTAAGAAGCCAGTTTTATGTTATTTAATTTTTTTTTCAAGAATTCTATTTCCAGTCACTACTATCGAGGGGTAGAAAATGTGCTGATTTCTTGTGTTATTTCTATTGGCCTTGTATATAAGGTGATTTTGTGAAGATATAAAATGCATTTATGTTTTGGAGTTTTGTGAACAGAAAGCAGTACTTACCTCAGCATTTTCCTAGTATACCGATTGAAATCATCATAATTATTCCTTAATTTTTGCATAATATATGTTTACAAGTTAAAATAAAACATTTAATGAACTAGTGGTTAGTATAGTTTCATTACTATAATTCTTAATAGTCTGAATAGCATCTTAGACATGTAAAATCTTATCATTTTAAAATTACCTGTTAAATCAAGGTTTAATGATGTATTTCTTTTTGGGGGCAGCATCACAAGTTTTGGAGTTAATCATATTTAAAACATTTCAAAGTTTTCAAAATTAATTTGAAAATTGGAATTTATAAAGTACTGAATTGATGAACTTTTTGCACCTATTCACATAAGAAAATGTTGCATAGTGACAATTTAGCTTTTGATCATTAAATAAAAACCCCAGCATACTTGTTTAGTTACTAGAGCCCATTATTTAGAAT